CGCGCTCAAATTTGCACAAGCCTCCCTATTCATCAGAGCCATTCACATATATACCATCACTTGACTTCTTTGGCGTATTATTGAAGAAAATGCAAAAAGTTACAGAAGTTACATGGGACTAATGCAGAGCAAACGCATGTAGGTACCAAACTTCTTAAGCAGACAATATGACCTTCACCAAGCGGAGTATGCTGGCGGAGGTGGATATGGCATTTTAAGACTAAGATCTTCAAGGAAGTTGGAATCCTCACCCTTTTTTATGCGAAGGTAGGAAGAATAAAAGGGATAGATGGATGGCTAATTAATGGATGGCTTTCGAACTTGTGAGTCCTCATTTAAAACCCAGATAGCACGAAAAATTTTGGAATGAGCGACATTTTTGGTAAATATTGAAGATGTACTGCGGAGAAGTTTACTCGTGACCGCATTCATCAGCGAACCCAATGGGTTCATATTCCGTGGGTTCACGAACCCATTGGGTAAGGTCGATATGCACAAGTGCTGCGCTGGGTTCCCTTACCCACTAGCTTCTGAATACCGATCTCGTGGGTCAAGCCTCAGCGGGTTCCTGAACCCGCTGGTTTCGTTGATGAATAGGCCACAGGAGAGGTTATGATTTAATCATAGTTGGGAATGTTGCTCACCTTGATTTGTTTTCCAGGATTTTCAGGATCTGCTGGAGGTACAAACTGGATTGTTACCGAGTTGTTATCATAGACAGAGATCTCTGGATTCTTGACTTGAGCGGGAGCTAGAAAATGAGGGATATGATTCTTTCCACCAAGACTCTTTGAGAAGGATCTGAAGAAAAGCCTACCAAGTGGAAGTGTGCGAATCATTTGAGGAGCTGACATGACGCCTGGTCCACGATCGCTGACTGCCTGTACCCGAACAGCGTAGTTCTTCTTCGGGTCCAGTTGTTGCAGTTGGTGGTTGACGTCCAGTCCATCCACAGTCGCCACATGCCATTCCTTAGGCTCCGTTTCACCTGCAGAGAAGCGCATTTTGCAGATTTTGAAGGGTGTGATAAATGGGGTCATAAGATAGCAAACCTTCTGGTACTTCTCCGTAGTGCACAATGTAGTTGGTAATTCGTCCATTCACCTCATCGGGCGTGGTCCATTCCACATTGATTACTTGGTTGGGCATGGGCAGAAGCACGATTTCGTTGGGAGGAGTGCCAGGTCCTAAACTTATTTTTCTCCGAAAGTACACGAATTCAGAACGTTTTACATACCAGATATTTGTATTTGTACAACTTCTTGGGTACCTCCGGCTTTGTT